TCAAATTTTCAACAAGTCCAAATCAAATTCCTTTAGACTCTAAGCTCAATGACATTGGATAGATAACTTGACAACAGACCCTACTTATACACACACATTTAATATGTGACAGAGGAGGGGTCCCAGCCAGCAGTGAAGGGGAAGATTATGCAGACATGGTATCTGGGCTATTTGAAAACTAATCAGTTTAGCTTCTTACTTCATAGCACAACTCAAAATAATTTCACCAATAAAAAAGTTAATATGAAAATAAAAGCCATAAAACAAGAAAAATAATTTTACTATGGACCTATAACTGCTCTAAAAAAGTCTAATTTAAAAAAACAGAAGAAAAATATGAGTGTATATTTACCAAATCTTTGAAGAGGCAAGGGATTTCTAAGTTTGAAGAGCAATGGGAGAAGAAAGAAAACGATGTTCAGAATCTACAACCTAGAAATGTAACCTCTGTATCTCATATATAAACACTTATCTATAAATCAAATGAAATGGCAAACATACTAGGAATATATTTCAACAAGTATATAAAAGATTCATCTCTTTAATGTATACAAAGTTCATAAAAATGGGTAAGAAAAATACTAAAATCCCAAAAGTTAAATGGAGAAAGAACAAAAGTTAAATGGAGGGAAATATAAATGGTCAGCTAATGAGCAAACTGCTCAACCACAGAAATCAAAGAAAAGTCAAAATTAAAACAAAGCCTTTCAAACTGTAACAGAAGTCTCAATTCACCTCCTTGCTGGGCTGTGTCCCTATACTCTGACTTGCCCTCTCCAGGCCACTCCACACTGCAAAGCTCTAAGACACAAATCATACGGTGTTTGTCACTCCCCCGCCTTAACATCCCTTTAAGGGCTCCATGGAGAAAGCCCTAGCAATGCCACTTGGCACATCTGCCAACCAGAAGCCTGACACCTTTCTAGCCTCATCTCCCACCCACATCAAAGCTCCAGTCATACAGAACTTGTATGGTCATTTCCAGAACTATTTCACACTTGGTATCTTCCATTGTACTGTTACCAGTCCTGGAAGGTCAACATTCATCCTCATCCTATTCTTTTAGGAAGCTTTCCCTGATGCTGCTGGTCTCTGACAATCCTTATTCATGTCCCCATTGCACCCTTCAATCCAGTATCATAGAACTGAGCACACAATATCTCCATCACTCACGTACTTGTCTCTCTCACTTCACTGGACTATAAGCTTAGGGGAGGGGACTATGTCTTATTCACCTGTGCGGTCCCTGCACTGTACCCAGAGCGAAGTGTGTATGAATGTGATGTATGTGTGAATATGTGTGCATGAGTGAATGGACAAGATATGAGCAGGGCCATAAGCAAGCTGAAGTGAGACACAACTGAGAATGCACCAGGTGAGGGTGGCACCTTACCTCCCGAAGGGCATTCTGGACTGCACAGTACCAAGCCTGACTCACAAGGGAGGCCTCTTTCTGATCTGACAGAGGCAGGAAGCTCAGAATATATGTGAGCATCTGCAGGAAGAAGACAGGGCATTGGGGGCTGTTAGAGCTGGGGGCCTTGGGAATCTTCTCCAGCCGACTGCACAGTAGGTCTCACAGGACTGGAACACTGGCTTCATCTTGGATCCTAAGCTTCACAGAGTCTTCACTTCCCCTCTTCAGTCTCTGGGTATCTTTTCACTGTGAACAAACTTTTTCTGAGCCTTGTCTGGATACAGGTTTGTACTGACTGATAAAAATCAAACTTCCTGCTCAGTTTGGTGAAAAAAGCCTGGGCAGCAAGACCAGATAAACCTAGTTCAAATCCTTACTCTATCAACTGATCTCTTAGAGCCTTATTTTCCTTATCTGTAAAATGGCAATTGTACTGAGTTTTACATGGCTTATTTTGTGTGAGAATTAAGTAACATAGTTAAATGTCCTACATAGGATCTAAAACACAGCAAGTCAGGAGCTCCTCCTCTCATCTTCAGGAAGTTATACCCCTTCCTTCTGCCCTCCCAGGTCCAGCTCTGGGACCCCCATCTTACCCCAGTTTCTCCACTGCTAACTTGCTTTTTAGCTGGCTGTTAAGATATGACCCCAGCAAGACCCAGCCCAGGAGGCTCAGGCCCTCATTCCAACTATGCTCTGTGAGGCCTGGTTGGGGGCAGGTGGGGGCAGTAAAGTTGCAGGCCCTGAAAGAGACTAGGAAGGGAATTGACTGTGAGGCCAGGAATGATCTGATATTAACCATCTTTTTCTTCTGGAGTCTTTCCTCCTTGATTCCTGTGATGCTATGTTTTCTAGGACTCCACTCAGCACTCCAACTGCCCTGTCTCTGGATTCTTCTATGGCTCCCAGGGCTCAGACCTGGGTCTTTCAATCTGTTTACTTCCTAGGGTAAATTTATTTGCATGGCTTCAACAGTTACTCTATAGGATAACCAGCGATTCAATATCCCCATATTGTCTTAGCATTCATGTGCTAATCCAGTGTGTTGCCAACTGTCTATGGGATCCTTCAACCAAATGATTTACCAACACCTTCATCTCAACCAAAATTCACATTCTGCCCTCAGTCCAAAGCATCCCCTCCTCCCAGCTTTCCAGTGCCTCAGCGTCAATGCTAATGTGTGTATCGCCTGAATATCCTGATGATACTTTGAACTTTTCGTGCTCTTCTGTCCCTTGCTCTCAGATATAGCTGTAAGGCACAGGCTTTAGGGCAGGCTAACTTAGACTCATTTAAATGCTAGCTAACATGAAATACAATAGGTATGATGTGCTTGACACCTAGTAGATGTTCTATAAATGGTTGCTGGATTGCTGTTATTAGTATTCTACCTCTGAAACTTTACCACCTTAGAAGCCCAGATCGTCATCACCCCAAACCTAGATTCCTTCCACAATCACCCACCTGACCTCCCTGCCTCCACCTTGCTAACCATTGGGCACATTGCAACAAAGTTAATTTTCTCAAAAAAACACCTTTCAATCTTAGCACACCCTGATGAGGACCTTCAGGGTATCCTGGTACCCTCAGGACAAAAATCTCCATTTGGGTTAGCACTGCCAGGCCTCCATGCCTGACTGGACCTGTGATCCCAGAGCTTCCCCAATCCAGTATCCCCACTGTCTTACAAACATAGCATGTCTATTTCTTTTTGCCAATGGAGGCCTTTCCTGGAATGCCCTTCCTTAAGCTTGACCTACCTCATCAGCCCATTCAGATCTCTTCTTCCCTTCTCTGATCCCTAGCACACAGAAGGGGTTCAGCCAATATTTACTGGATTGAATTAAGGATGGACAGTCCTCTACCTCTATTTTCACCAAATGTTTGCACAGAGAAGGGGTAGGGCGATAAAGCGATCATTATCAAGAGGAGAATGACTGGGGAGGACAGCCTTCTGGGCCAGGGAGGCTTGGCATGGGGAAGAGAAACACTGATGGGGACTAGGACTGACTAAGCTCCTGACCCTAGCAGAAGGCATGGAAGCCTGTCTCAGCTGAGTTAAGATAATGGCCATCCTGTCTTCTGGGACTCAGCAGCCAACCCAAGGAGCAAAGGGAAAGGGCATTAACCCTTTTCTCACTGAGGGGAAGGAGCATCAGTATTTGAGCTGAGCTAGGGGGTGGCCATTCTAGAGAGACCAGAGGAAGCAGTGATAAGTATGAAATTGCCATTCCATGAACCCCATCCCAACAGGCTACTAGAGATAGGACTGGTCATTCCTGAGATCTGTGGGCCAGTAGATATCCTCTGGAGCCAAGGAAAAAGGATGCCATTGCAGGGAGGGAAGCGGCAGTCTCTCGGGGCAGAGGGAATGGAACGATCGCTCCAAGGGGCCAGTGGGGATAAGATCAGTTACCCGTCGGGGACGATGGGATGCAGAGGACATCTTCCAGAACTGAGAAGGAGGGGCGACTATCTCAAGAGAACGGGTATAGGCAGAGACCCTGTCCTCGCTGAGGTAACAACAGCTAACTCCTAGGGCTGTTGGGGAAGAAGAGGATGGCTCCCCAAGCTAAGGGGACGGAATGGCCCAAAGGCGGGCTGTTACCCATAGCTTGCAGGTCCAAGGATCCCCGAGGCGGGTCGTTTCCGCCAGGCAGGTGGGGCCGGGCGAGTTGTCTGCCCCTCCCCACAGCTCGCGATCCCGAAGGCGGGGCCTGTCCCGAGCTAGGCCTAAGGGTGGCTTCCTCTCACCTCCAGGGGCAGCGACTCCGCCATCGCATCCCTGCCGCCTCCACCCCCGCGCAAGGCTTTCTGGGAAGTGTAGTCTCACGTCCTTGGGAGGTGGGCCTTGGGAAGGAAGTGGCCCTCCACTTCCGTCCCAGTTGTTACGATTAGTATCTGCACCGGAAGTGCCTTGCTGCCGATGTGGTACCTACTGACTGTGGTTACGGTCGTTTTCCCTTGTTTCCCTGGCTGGGTATCTTGGTCGCACCATGGCGGTAAGGAGTGCTGGTATGGCGGGGTCCACATCAGCAAAGCGTTCCCGGGGCCGGGCCGGGGGACTAAAAACAGAGGAAGGACATCAAAGGAAGCGGGTCAGCCAGAGGAGGGCGCCATCCAGGTTGGACTGTGCTAGAGCGAGCTACGGGGCTGGAGAGGCTCTGGGCTGTACTGTAACTGGTGCCGGAGGGCGGTGGGCGTCAAGACAGATACTACCAGGTGGCCTGAGATCTGAGGGGCTTGAAGGAGGGGCGTCAGGCGAGATCTGGAGTACTGCAGCAGAGATCAGAGAGGGGCACATTCAACGCCACTCAGGAGTCCCTTCAGTCTAAAGCTGGACCTTATCAGGGGAGCCTGAAGTGTTAAATTGTTCCAGGGTGAACTCGAGGAGATCATAGCTAGGAGAGCTAGACAGATGGTGTCAACCCTAAGCAGGATGGACTGGAGGCGTGCTAGGTTTGAGCATCATAGGGACCTGGCCGAGATGCATATGGAATTCTGTACTAACCAGACTGGTGGGGTGAGTGAGGAGGACCCTGGATGAGGAAGGATTTGACAGCATCTCACCATCCCTCTGCAGCCCAAGGGCAAAGTGGGCACAAGAGGGAAGAAGCAGATATTTGAAGAGAACAGAGAGACCCTGAAGTTCTACCTACGGATCATACTGGGGGCCAATGTAAGTGCCTGTCTCTTTGCTTCTATGCCCACCCAAGGCCCCACAGACCTTAGCTCTTGGGTGTGGGTGTGTGCGCACGCACCGGCACACTTGCTTGCAGAGGAGTGGTGGTGGTGGTAGTGGTATGGAGGCTTCATAAGAAAACTCTAGTTAAAAAGAAACCAGAAAGGATCCTGGCACAGAGAAAGTGCTGACACGGCAAAACAAAACGAAACTAAAACTGCAATGAAGTTGTGAGTCTTGGATGCTCTTGAGAGCCCTTCCATCCCAAATACACAGGGGCTTCTTTTCTGGGCTGATGTGTCAGAGGGGAGTCTGGGTATTTGGGACTCAGAGAACAGACCCCTTTCCCCACTGAACCCTGTTAAGAAACAACCTCTTCTGTTCTATAGCATGGTCTAACTTTCAGTCAGAGTTGAAGGACACCCATGGTTTAGAGTAGCTTTTGATCCCAGCCTGATCCTGTGTGTTTGCAGGCCATTTACTGTCTTGTGACCTTGATCTTCTTCTATTCATCTGCCTCGTTTTGGGCCTGGGTAAGTATCCCCCACCCTGAGAAGGGGATGAGTGCACAGGGCTCAGTGGCTGGCTTTTGATACCCACATTCTTGTTCTGCAGATGGCTCTGGGTTTTAGTTTGGCAGTATATGGGGCCAGCTACCACTCTATGAGCTCGATGGCACGGGCAGCCTTCTCTGAGGATGGGGCCCTGATAGATGGTGGAATGGACCTCAACATGGAGCAGGGCATGGCAGAGTGAGTGTCCCCCACCGCCAGCCCAGGTGAGCGGCCCCAGGGCTGGGGTGCTGGGGTCCAGATAGCCTGACCCACAACTGCCTGCAGCTTTAGAGGGAGGAAGGGAGATGAACTGGGGCCTGTCTACTATTTTTGGCCATTGCAGCCTCCCTTGTATCCACAGGCACCTTAAGGATGTGATCCTACTGACAGCCATCGTGCAGGTGCTCAGCTGCTTCTCCCTCTATATCTGGTCCTTCTGGCTTCTGGTGCGTGGGTTGTGGGGCACCCAAGAAGGGGCTAGGGCATCTAACCCTTCTCTTTGTTCATCCCCTGCATTTGGCTTGAAGTTACCTTTTCTGTCCTAGGCTCCAGGTCGCGCCCTTTACCTCCTGTGGGTGAATGTGCTGGGCCCTTGGTTCACAGCAGACAGTGGTGCCCCAGTGCCAGAGCACAATGAGAAACGGCAGCGCCGACAGGAGCGGCGGCAGATGAAGCGGTTATAGCCACTGACGTTGTGGCCACAGGCTTCTGGGCCCTGGGTGGCACGGTCAGGCTGCATGTCCCTCATACCAGGAGCAATGAGGGCCAAGTCAAGGGGCCAAAAGCTGTCTAAGGTATAGACTGTTGAATAAATGGCTTATAATGTAGCTTATGGCTGTTTGGGTAATAATGAGGGAAGAGGCAGGAAGAGCCAGTCCTTTGGTGTTACCCTCTTGCTACAGTCACACTTTGGTGAGCACCTTGAAAAAAGAAAAAGGCTCATAGATTGGCTAGGAAAACTTTATTAGGCTACATGCATTTGGGGAGCTCACACATGCACACACACACAAACGCGCACACATAGCACACATAGCTAATACTGTTCAAGGCACTAGCCACCAAATACAGAGTGGCCCAAGAGTTTAGAAGAGACCCAGATTCTGCTCTGGGTCCTCTTCGCTCTATAGTCTCTTGCACTGCAGGCCAGAGCCCAGATAAGTGTCCTGGAGGCAGCACCTTTACACTTCCAGCCCAGGACCCTTGCTTAGTCCCAGTGCCTGCACCAGGTCTTCTCCAAGCCCACTCTTCAATGTCCTTCTCACTGCAAGGACCAAGCAGGATTAGAGGGGGCTGATGGAGTTAAGGTGGGCAGTGGGTGGGTGGGTGAGGAGTACTCACAAGACTTGCGGTTGCCACGGGAACGCTTGCGCTCCCGAGCAGCTAAGGCACGAGGACTGCTCTTGGTCACTGATTGTACCAGCAGGTCCATGATCTCATCTGAAGTGTCACTGGGTAAACTGGAGCCCTGGGGTTCTTCTGAGGGTGCCGTGGAGGGCCCCATGGCTGAGGGCATGACTGGGGAGCTGCTCTGGACCATGCCTGAGGGAGGCCAGATAGGGAGGTTAGGCTAAGGTGGCCCCAAATTCCACTGCCCCCAGGGGCCAGAGGTCCTACCTCTGCTGCGGCGGCCATGTGTGGTGTTCTCACGCTTGGTGGTCAGTAGACTCTTCATGCTGGCATGACTATCAGCATCACCTGGGCCTGGCCCACTGCCCACGGCCACCGGGACAGTTGGGTTGCTGGTGGCCTCCCCAGCCACACCTGAGAACTTCTCTGTCTGGAGAGGGGAGAGGGGTGAGCTGGGGTCAGGGAAGGAGACCATGGGAGGCAGTGAGGATGTGGAGGGACACCCACCTCGGTGATCATGCGTCCCCGGGTCTTGTTGCGCTCACGGTACGTGGCCCGCTTCTGCTGCTGCTGCAACACGCGCTCCCGGCAGGTGCGATACTCCAGTGCGAACTCCCGCAGTGTGTGGCAGAATCGCGTGACACGCACTTCCCGAGCCGCCTGTGCTGTATACCCCAGGTACAGCAGGAAGGCGTGGAACCTAGGCAGGTTGGGTAAGGAGGTGTGGTGAGGCCTGCTTGGGCTTGAGGGGTGGCGGTGGAAATCTTGCCTTTCTGGCCCGTGTCCCCACCTGTTGCAGATACGGCGGTGCACTACCCGCAGCATGGCGACTCGGCGGGCACACTGGGCCAGGAAGTGGGTGAGGCGGGCTCTCAGAGCTGGAGTCAGCTCATGTTTAGTCAAGCTCCGCAGACTCTCCTCAGCTGCCCAGCTGCGGTGCTCCAGCTGCCCCAGGTTCTCAGTCAGCTGCTCAAAGTCCACCTGAAAAGTAGGGGGTACACATGTCCCCCTGCCAGGAAGGCACCACCTGAGGCTGCCTCTGTACCAGGCTCACTAGCCTGGGCCCTAGGGACACAGCTGAGATCTGGCCTCTGCCCTCCCAAAGCTCACAGTCTAATGCAAGAGGAAGACAAATTCATTTGATGGGGGAACACCGAAAGTTTCTTAGGGGAAGTGGCGGCTAAACTGAGACCCAAAGACCGAGTGGTATAGCCAGGCCAAAAGAGAGGGTGTTCCTGGGCAGAGGACACACAGCTCACACGAACCCCTGTAGCTGAGTGAGCCCTGGCACAGCAGCCCAAATAGGGAGAAGCAGCCAGCCAGTAGAAGAAGCACTCTTTCACTGTCATTCTCTCACACAGTGGCTAGTCTTAGTCAAGCCTCTGGCTGGTGCTAACCTTGGCACAACGTGTCAGGGCAGGGATTTCAGAGTAGAAGTCAGAGGAATCAGGCTGGGTCTGGAGCACCAAGGAGCAAAGATGATGCAGCAGTGACTGCCGGCGCACTGTGTCCTTCACCTCTGACACCTTCTCCAGGTAGCTCAGTTCAAAGCCGCTGCTCTGAAAGGACCCCATCTGAGCCTGGGCCTGGCTGGCTCCAGGGCCATGGTCCCCAACCCTGGTGCTTTCACTCACCTGGGAACCGTTGAGGAAGTTACCCACAGCTAGCAGGGTGGCCAGGATACAGCGGAAGGTGACATTTTGCACCAGCTGTTCCATGCCCACTTTCAGGTCAAACAGCGGCTCTGCAATTTCCTGGTGTGGGAGATCAGGGACTCTCAGATTATACAGTCATCATACTCACCTGCCCCCATTTCCTGTCCCACCCCATAACCCAGGTACCCGTTCCATGCTGTCGTAGTCCAGCTTGAAGGCCCAGAGTTGTAGGCGGGCAGCCAGGCCCCCAATGGAGACAAGAGTCATCAGGAAATTCTCAGCTGGGCCCAGGGGTATGTCAGGATTGGCCAGCTGGGCCTCCTCGATCTTCTGCCGCTCCTCTTCCGTGGGCATCATGGTCAGTAGCTTCTGAGGATGCAGCCACCACCCCACAGAGTTTCCTCAGTGCTGGCCTGAGGCCTCAGGCGTTGGTCTTGACTCCTCCCTAGGTCATCTGGGGGATCCCCAGGGTCTGGGGACTGCTCTGCAGAAATGCCAAGCCCATGCCCACCACTGGAGGAACAGGAAATGCCCACTGACCAAAGGAGAGGGCCAGACCTCCCACCTCAATGCCATCCTTGCTGACAGCAAACTCATCAAAGTTGAGCAGGGCAGCCTTAATGACGTGCACAGGTGGCAGTGTGGTTAGGCCAATATTGATGGCGTTGCTGCGCTTGGGGTCCAGCACTGTGGTCATTGTCCGACGGCCCTCACCAGCTTTCTTTGAGGTTGGAAGAAGGGCAATGTAAGTTTGGTAGAGGGACTAGCTGGAGCAACAGTCTGAGGGCCCTCTAAATGGCCAAGTAGGGTCACTCCATGACTCGGGTTCTGGGACGTGTAAGGCCCCGGGACATGCTTAGATTATAGTTAGGGCTCTGCTGACCCTTGTTGAGAGACCTCAGACAAGTCCCTACACCTTTCTGTGCCTATTTCTCCAACTGGGAAATGAATGGCCAGTCCCAGCAATTCAGAGCTGAGCTCTGATTCCCTCCCTCTCCACTGAGTTTGCCTTGCAGAGATGGGGTTTACCTTGGAAGGCAGCACGTCCTTAGCACGAGACTCAAACAGGTGTTCCAGCCGGTCTGTGTCCACTGAGACAGGCTCCAGTGAGGCCCACAGGGTGGGGGAGGGCCCAAAGTGGCTCCTAGAGCCTCCATGGCCCCCAGCCAGCTTCAGCTCCCGCCAGAAGAGTTTTACTGTCTTCTTCTTGGTGGGGAGAGCTAGGCCATCAGGTGCTGAGGGAGGAAGAGGGGCAGCCAGGGGTGGAGGGGGTGGGAATGAGCCTTTCATGGGTGGGGGAGGTGGGGGTGGAGGAGGTGGACTGCCAGTGAGCAGAGGCAGTGGGGGTGGGACCCCTTTCCCAGCCTCCACAGACTCCATGTTCAGTATGTCCTGGTCTTCATCCTCCCCCAGATCTGAGAAGTCCAGGTCTCCAATGCAGAGCTTGGGTACACGGATAGGGATCTCCCAAGGCTCAGCCTTGGGGCTTGGTGGGGCCAGTGGTTCCTTGGGCTCTGGCTCAAGGCTCTGCTGGGCCCGGAGCAGAACTTTGGGGGCATGGCTTTGGGGTGTTCTGGGTGCAGGGGCTGGTTCTGGGGAGCCCCACAGTTCCTGGGTGTCTAGAAAAAGGGAAGCAGCTGTCAGCATCATGCCCTCTGGAGCAACAGAGCAACATGGGTGGATTCTGGCCACCCACCTACTCACCTAGGTGCCCATCAGTCTCATCGGGCTTGGCCCCAGCCAACGTTTCTGCCCGGCCCTGGGCCAGCGCAGCCTGTTTCTCTGTTTCTGCTGCTGCCACATTCTCCAGGAACCGGGCTCTGGGGGCAGGCACTAATTAGTGAGGATGTCAGACTCTTCAGCCCAGGTTGGTGCACATGCCTTGCTGGGCCCCTGGGCATTGCCCCCAATTGCAGGCACACACAAACACACAGGGAACAGTCCATGCGCTGAGCAGACCCAGGACCTGCCCCCAAAGGCCAGCCCCTGTTCAGTGCTCCACATATGGAGAGAGTCATTGCCAACCCAGCATTCCCAGGTCAATGTATGGGGAGAAGTTCTACTTAACATCTAACTTGTAACCTTGCCACTGTTCATGATCATTGTCCTGATTGTGGATAAAATCCCTTAGAGCAGAAGAAGGGGATAGCTGTCCCAGTGGGCATACCAGGGGACAACTGGGACAACTGTATGCCTCCCTTGGCTTGTCTGGCAGGTTCTGATAACTATATTCTGTGCCCAGAAAAGGGTCTGGTAAACACACATGTTTAAGAGTATCATACTTCCCCAACTGAGCTAGCCAGGTGGCCAAAATAGGCACTCAGTTAATGTTAAAGTAATGTATGTGATCCATTGTCTCTTTTTTTAGCCCCTTCAGCCTCTGTTGGGTCTCAGTCCCTGCCATTCCCTCAGCCCTAGGTTGCTTCTCTACCCGCCACCCCACCACATAGCACGCTAGATCCCCTCCCTGCCCTGTTCTTGGGCTGAGGACATGGGAGAATGGGCTCCAGGTTGGGAATCTGCCTTCTCATCTCTGGATAAAGCTGTTAAGGTGTCACTGTTGAAGCATAGGGACCACTATGACCCCTGTGAACTGCTTCCTGGTGCTTAGTGATTGGGTAACCAGGGAGGCTTAAGTCTGGGAAAGGACAAGTTTGAGAGTCCCTAGCTCTGGCTGCATGAGGCACATGGAACCCCCGCTGGGAGAAGCAATGCTGAAGCCCTGAGCACATGGCAGGCCTGGCAGTCTGGCCTCTGTACTTACTCCTGCCTGGCCTGCCCAGTAGGGGACTGGGGGACAGGTGGGCTCTCAGAGGCCCTGGGTT